CAGAGAAAATCTCCATAGCCACTTCATAAGTAAACTCTTGTTATGTTGTCTCAAATTTCTGATTCCCCAACCTCCATCCCTCTTGCTTTTTAGCAAAGTGCTTCATTTTACCAAATTGTAGGCCTTCTTCTCCTTTTTCCCTTGCCGTATGAATTTCCTCCTTAAAGCATCCACTCTTTTCTCAACTTTTACAGGAATTGGGAAAAAAGACATCATGTAAGTAGGAAGAGCATCTAGCACACTATTGACTAAAGTAATCCTCCCTCCCAGAGAAAGATAATTTCCTTTCCATACAGCAAGTTTCTTTTCACACCTCTCCAGCACCTCATTCCATAACTCCTGGGATCTATTTTTTGCTCCCAAGGGCATCCCCAAACATGTTGTTGGGAGATTTCCCACCTGACAGCCCAACACCCCCGCCAATCTTTGAATGTTGGTGACCTCATTAACTGTGTACACCTGTGACTTACTCCAGTTGACATGTAACCGTGAGACAGCTTCAAAGACAGATAAGATCAACCTCAAATGTCTAACTTGCTCTTCTTTAGCATCACAGAACACTAAAGAATCGTCCGCATAAAGCAGATGAGTAACTCTAGATTGCTACTGACATTATTCACTGCCTTGAAACCCCTTATTAACCTCTCCTGGTTTGCCTTCTTAATCATACTATTCAGACCTTCCATTACAATTATAAAAAGGAAAGGAGACAAAAGGTCTCCTTGCCTTAGCCCTCTCTGTGAAGAAAAGAAACCCTCTGGAGAACCATTAACTAGAATGGAAAACTTAACAGTGCTGATGCAGAATCCTATGCATTTGATCCACCTCCTTCCAAAGCCCATATTCTTCAGAGTTTCCAGCAAATAGTTCCAATTTATGTGGTCATATGCCTTCTCGATATCTAGTTTGCCAAGGATCCCTGGAATCTTACTTTTAACCCTGGAATCAACACATTCGTTTGCTATTAGGGCTGCATCCATGATCTGCCTACCTTTGATAAAAGTCATTTGTTGAGTGTCAACCAGTTTGAGAATTACTATCTTCAATTTCTCTGTCAACACCTTTGAAATGATCTTATACACACTACTTATGAGACTTATAGGTCTATAATCTTTTAGTTCCATCGCCCCAGCCTTCTTTGGAATTAATGCTACATAAGTAGCATTAAAGCTCTTCTCAAACAATTCCTGTGAGTGGAAGTTTTGAAAAGTATTCATCAAATCTTCTTTCACCACCTTCCAGCATTGAATCCCTTATGATTTCTTGCTCTTCAAACTCCCTCTGTAGCAATTGCTCCTCTGCCTCACTAATTCTAGGACAATCTGGAAAATTGAACTTTGGCCTCCATGCTTCAGATTCAGTGTATAAGTGCTGATAAAAGGCTAAGATCTCACCCTTTATAACTTCCTTATCATCCACTTGTATCCCATTAATATTGAGCTTGTCAATGTTGTTGAACCTTCTGTGGGCATTTGCAATCCTCTGAAAATACTTAGTATTTCGATCCCCTTGTTTTAACCATTGAACCCTTGATTTCTGCCTCCAAATTAACTCTTCATTTTTGGCAATCTCTTCCAATTCCATGACTAGGCTAGCCTTTTGCACCAACTCATCTTCAGAAAGATCCCCGGATTCTTGAACCACATCTAGTATAAGAATTTTGTTCAAACAGAGTTTTGTGAACCTCCAAATTTCCCCCTTGACATGTTCTCCCTATTCTTCTTTATATTCCTCTCCTGCAATCAAAATCTATAATATGCACAAGTAGCACCAAGCACCGCAGGCTATGGTTGTGATCCAAAACACTTCTATTCATGCCAAACTTCTGTAGAATCTCTTATGCTGGTCTGCACTATACTTTCAAGTGAGGTGACACTACGTACCTTGTATCAATCAACAAGTTCCAAAAATCTTACCACTTTCATATTTGTTGAAGTTGTCAATCCAACTGTTGTGCCAAATAATATTGACATAGGTTCTGTGACAGCAGTCACTGCCATCATGGGATTTTCAATATTTTGCAAGCCTCCCAATAGGACTCAACCCCAAAACCAAGGCAGATGTCTCATAATATATGTATTTCAGCCTGCTGATAACATTTCTTACATTGCTTCAAGATTACAATCAACCCCACAATCCATAAGGGAGTCTAATGGCGTATCCTGAGATATTTTATACCATTTTCATTGCTCTTTGCAGGACTCCTAACCTTAATCAGCCAGCAATTTCATATCACAAGCAAGCAAATGGAATTTGGTATTATAACTTTGAATATCTATAAGTCATATTTAATGTTTTTTGTTAACAAAAAATTAGACAAACAATAGCAATAGTGCAATAGAAAACACATGTAAGGAACCAAAGTACATCTCTAACATATTTCTTATACAAAATGACAAATACAACATATATGTTATTTAACAATCATGTGAAGTAGAAGTAGATAATGTACCTGTTGGACTCCTGGATGACATATGACATATTGTCGAACACCTGCAGAAAAATAAAGAAATAAAAATTATTCAGTCATTTCAGGCAATCATCAAACAGGGTGCACACGATGTACAATGATGTAATAGTGAGACTCGTTCATTTGAATGACATAGTACCAAAGTAGTCACAAGAAAGAACATAAAAGGGGAAAAGAGACGAATCTCACTATTCCAGATCGACCTTCTTAAGAACAAAATAGATATTAAAAATTAAACAAGAAAAACGTTTATATGTTCTCAATCCAAAATGGCCGATCAAACTCAAGTGTTCACTGTCACACTCAGATTTGCTGATTTGTACAAAACTCAAAGTGTTATCTTCACCTGCAGTAAGGAAGAAACAAATTTAGAAGGGGAAAAAGGAACTCTAAGTAATGAATAATATTTCAAAATTTTGAGGAAAGAAGAGGAACCCAAAGTAATCTTATAAAGGAAGAGCCCACCCTTCGCATTGTTCTTTCATAAAATGAATGAATATGAACTGCATATAAGTGAGAAAGGCATTGGGAACTACAAAAGTGCTATTGTGTGCTTCATGCACAAAATGTAACTCAAAGCAGAAACACGATAACTTGAACATCAAAGAAAATAAAGTCGTAAAATTCCCATTGAAACAATTTTAGATTCTTTTATTTTACAAGATGCATGTAACAAAAGGATTTCCAAGTCCTATTCTAAATGCAAAATACACGATATAAAGAATTGTAGAACATCTAACATATTGAATCATCTTAAAATGTTATATGAGATTTCTGCATTAATTGTTCTATGTTATATCCAAGAACCAACAAAGGAAAAGAAGAAAGAAACTTGTTTGGATTGTAATAATTCTTGAAGAGCTTTTGGCAGTATTAGCTTTAAGTAACGATTTACCTTGTTTCAATTGTGGGATTGTTATTACCAGGTTTAATTATGGGACTTTATCCACGGAACTCAAATTACTCTATTTAAGCTTCTTATATTTTTGTAGAAAAGTAATATTAAGTGGAAGTGCATCGAAACTTAGAAGGAATATGGGTTAATTCATGGACAGGCGTAGTTTTGGTTCATTCCCTTCCTGGAAAATTGTTGCAACAAATCAATCGAAGAATAATGTCTTGCTGCTTTTCATTTACACCACCAAAAATATAAAAAGAAGCTAGCAAAGACTTCTTCTTCCCATTCCAACAAATAGAAAATGGCCAAAGGAAATGAACTTCTATTCAAAACCGAAGCCATAGAAATATCGTATGTTCCTTCCTAAATAAATATGCAAAATAAGACAACCTAAGTGCAAAGTGGAAGCTTAGAAAGAGAGTACAGAAGATAATAAATTAATACTATCTCAAATGACAATAAAATATTACCAAACAATGTATATTTATAAACAAAGAACATTATTTCTAGAGGAGCACCGAATGATATCTTTATCACTCTTTACTTGGTCCATTGAATAGATTTGGTATGGAAAATAGTTTTAATGGATTTTCTATGATATGTATTCATGTGTTAAATAGCCATCCTATAAATTATTTCATTCTCAAATGGACATGTTCATATCTTCCATTCTTATTCTCCTGTTCAGTTTATACTCTTTTCATTTTCAATCTTTGCCATTTAACCTCCACTTTTACTTTATGTAATGTGATGCACTAAAGCATAATTGTATGCATTTAGGAAAGAAAAGAACATGTGGCTATCACTGACCGCAAAGAAAAGAGCATGCAGCTTTTACCGACTTTCACCTGACAGAAGAGTGAATTATCAATACTACTCATCTAACTAAGGCTAACCAGAAATCTAATTGTAAAGAGAAAATTAATATACTCCCTCCATTTCTATTTGTTTAATCAATTGTGAATTTCTCGATAGTTTATTCATTCTCAAGTTCAATTAAACAATCCAGACAGAATAAGAAAGATGAAAAGAAATAAGATGAATAAAGAGAAGTGGCACTCACTTAGAACTGCAATGTCTTTTCACCAATGAAGCTCGCTGAATTCATCAGAGAAGAAGGTAAAATAAATTTATTTATCATTACCACCTACAGAAATAATGAAAATATATGAATGTGAAAGCTTAAATATGGAACATAGAGAAGAGCTACTTGAATTATAGAGAAAGGTTTGGCAATTCTCAGGATGGAAAAATAATTTCACCTAACTGTCGAGTTCCCACATCTGTAATAAGGTAAGTAATAACACTAAGTCATCAGGCAAGAACTCGGCATCTAATAGAAGTTAGTATCCAACCAACAAAAAAAAATGCTAAATAAATCCTTATAAAAAATACACAAAAGAAATGGGTACCACATTGTGCATTACCCTCGATAAAATTTGCCTTGACTAATTTTAGGGCATTGTTGAAATTTCAACTCTTGAAATCTCGGCATATTTCTTACACCCAACACATGCACAACCACGAAAATTACACGTTTAATTAATTATTGTAGCCATAAAAAGTAACAGATAAGGCATCGTAGCTATAATGCAGCCTTTGAGAGGTTTTTAAACTTGATAAAAAATGTAATTGATGTTGAGCTAATTCAATCATCAATACATACCAAGTAGCAAAATGGCAGCCACCAAAGAACTCAGCATCAGTTTGGAGTGTATCTGACTTTTCCTGTTTATTTATATAAACAATAATACTACCATAAATATATAAGTAAATTATGCATTTCGTACAAGTATTCATTTAACTATTGACGCACATTATATTATTGAGAAATTCTGTATCTTTGGGGTTGATGCTAGATCTCTACGTTATAGGACACCTAAGAAAAAAGGAATAAAAAAAAATTAAATAGTACTCGAGGCATTTCGACAAAAATCTTTGTTGCATCAAAGTTCTTCCATTCCATTACTATTTCTTCTTTAAGCAGCACTTGAGGCATATCATCAAACATCTTTGTTGCATCAAAGTTGTTCCCTTTCCATCACTATGTCCTCTTCTTGATTGTAATTTCAGTGTACTTCCAAGAAGAATTCAAACAATCAACCACATGCATCTACAAAATCAACTAAGAAGCATGAAGATAAAGTAAAGACCATGTATGCATCAATCAAATAACCAAACTTGCACACGATGTATTAAGAACAAAAATAAAGCAAAAATACAAGGAGAATTCCAGAGGCAGTATGACGATTGTAGATCAATATCGAAAAATAGAATCACATGTTTACATGCCCATCAAGAAATAACAGATAAAAACTAAGTAAAATTAAAAAAATAACCAGGAAAACCTAACCAAAATTTTGAAATGAAACCAAAATCCAAGGCCAAAAGAAGAGCAAACAAAATAAATGCATAAGATGGGTAAGAGAAAGAGAAAAATAGTTGTTCAAGATTCAGACTTACTTTCTCTCTTGCCCATCTTCTTCAGGTGCATGTGCAGAATCGGTTAAAAGGAGAGCCAAAGCCACATGAATTTCTAGAATAGTTATAAGAAAGTCTGGTATCAGTAGTAAAACGACGAACATCGATGGAAGATGAATTGACAGAGCTAAATCTCTAAAACATCGTGGAACTGCGCCTCTCTTAGATTTCTTAACATCGAGACATCTTACTGGAAAAATTTGTGCAAAATCAAAAGCAATAGAAATTTCTGGACTGCACTGAAATTGGAGAAACTGGAGGAATAGTGTTTTACACAGTAAAACTGCAGTACACGTAGTACCGTGTTGACTTAATTACCAATTTATCCCTGAATAAACTCATAATTACCAAAGTACCCCTGTTCGTCCCTGTTGGTATACCCCAACTGCCGTTTCTAAATATTAGTAACAAATCAAATCCTTTTGTGTAAATCTTTCTATTTACTCCTTAGTCTTACGGTACATGTATTGTGCATGTATCCATATTAGTAAATATATAATCTTTTAAAACATCGTATAATATTAGACAATAATATGTTTTTACTAAAAATATGTAAATTTCTGAAAATGATGAATGTTGATCTTATTTAATTGGCTTAATAAATAAATAAAAAATATGATTTATTGTGATTTTTTGGTGTTCCACCAATGACAAAAATTATCCGAGTATCGTTTTTCTTTCTCTCCCCCCTCCTACTTTCTCTCTATCTCTACTATATTTTTAACTTTTTTTGTTGTTATTTGTTTTGATTGTTGAGTATCGTCTTAAAATATTATACAAAATAATTAATAAAAAGAAAATTGTTACTTGAGCAGATAAATTAAAGAGTTCGAAGATAGTATCGAATGAATTATACTCATGTTAACCCAAAAAAATTATGGTCATGTTACATTATTAAATAAGAAATAATTTATATAAAATAAAATCTAGATTGCTCTTAACCTAAATATCAAGACTTCCAACATAAACAAATAATCTTAATAATTTATTCAAATATTAAGATTGCTCTTGAATCTTAATAATTTTTGTTTTCACTTGCCAAATAGAGGTTAGACAAAACTGAAAGGGTCTCCGGGCTAGACACCCGTTAAATACTCTTAGATTATATGTGGGGGCTCTTGTCCTGTGAAGCTTCTGCTTTAAGCGCCCGGGACGTATGCTTGGCATGCATCCAATGTCTTGGGCACGAGCTCGTCAAAAAGTTACTGCGCAATCGATATAATATTGTATGTTAGATTGTCAAAAATTCATGAACAACTATTTAACTCGTCAAAAGCTCCATTCCTTAATCATGATTCAGAAGTTGAGATCAAACATTAATATCATGATATAAAAGTAAATTTAATTTCATCCAAAAATTCGTCAGGTTTTAATTTTTGATAGAACTTCATTATTTAATTCTTTATATTTTTCTCTTCAAATCTTGTTTTTTACTTTATTTCGTTTGATAATAATATTTTTTTATTTGTGGGTTATGAAACTTTTTTAATAACTAGTGTTAGTAGTAATAATTTACAAATAGCTATATTCATTTGTCACGGCACGGAATTCCCACTTTTGGGACTGTGATGACGCCTAATATTTCACTTGATAGACAAGCCAACGTTAGAGGATCTTTAAGCCAATTTTTAATCAATTCAAATAAGTAAAACTAATTAAACCGAAATGAAACTAAATTGGAGTACGAAATGACATAAAAATCAATAATATCTAAGTGCAACCCTGATCTGGAGTCACAAGTTCACGAACTTCTAGAGTCTCTATAAATAGGGTTTAAAATAAATACAAATGTCTAGAATAAAAAGAACAGTAAATAGGGAAAATTGAAGGGGACTTTAAGGTCTGTGGATACCAGCAGATCTACCTCGAGTCTCCAAATGCTAATCTAAGCTAATGCACCTCACGTACAGCTGGTACCAGTAATCTGCACAAGAAGTGTAGAGTATAGTATGAGTACAACCGATCCAATGTACTTTGTAAGTGTCGAGCTTAACCTCGACGAGGTAGTGATGAAGCTATAACGGGACACCCACGTAAATAAACCTATACAAACGGAAATATACGTACAACATAACAACGAATAAAGAATTAACAAGTACTATTGGGAGGGGACATGTGAAAGGGGTACACGATACGATAACTACAGCAGAGAATGATAATAAGAATCAGTCAATGAACCTTCAACCAACAAAATGAACAAAACATAATGAATAAAACTGTACGGCATCACCCTCGTGCTTTACTCTCAGCCTCACCATGAAACAGTAATAATGACAAGACATCACCCTTCGTGCTTTTACTCTCAATCTCACCATAAAATAATAAATACGGCAAAACATCACCCTTCGTGCTTTTACTCTCAAATATGGCACGACATCACCCTTCGTGCATTAACTCTCAAATATGGCACCGCATCATCCTTCATGCATTAACACTCTCCTCACCATGTAACAATGAACATATAACAATAGGGAGATTGAATGAGCAAGAAGACCTTACGTCAATAATGGTTCCACTATACCAACCTCAACTTCAAAAATAATAGTCAATTATCACAAATAGCTCATAAATGCAGAAAAACGATCAATTTAGTAATTAACTAGTCTAAGCATAGATATCATGATCGAAGAAAGAAATAAATTACAAGAAACAAGTCCCACCTGCATGCTTTGACCCAACAACAACACATAAATACTTGTCACCTCACATATACGTTGTACCCAATATTTAGACATGTAGCAAATAGACAAACAAGTCCTAATACCTCAAGTCAAGGTTAACCGCGAACTAACCAAATCTAGCAAATTATCAATCAAACGATTCAAAATAAGCCTTACGAACTACCCACGAATAAAAAAGGTTCAATTTATAGGTCATTATTGAAAAAGTCAACAAAATTCAACTCCCGGGCCTGCTTGGCCCAAATCCAAAATTCGAACCAAAACCCGATTACCCATTCACCCCCGAGCCCGGTTATGTAATTTATTTCGAAATACGACCTCAATTTGGAGTCTAAATTCTAATTTTACAAAAACCTCTAATTCTTCCCAAAACCCCAATTTTTACCATATGAACCAAATATTTTAGGTTGAAATCTTGTGAAATATAATGAAAAATTGAAAGAAAATAGGTTAGAATCACTTACCAATGAATTGGGGAAGAAGGGCTCTTGGAAAAATCGCCTCTAGGGTTCTCTAGATTTGAAAATTTGAAAGAATGAAAAAATTCCCGTCTAACTCAGGTTTTGACCAGGCGCAGTTGTCGCAATTGAGATCTTGCGAACCCCGCAAATGCGAGATTTTCTTTGCAAATGCAAAGTCCCAACATTTCCGCTATCATCGCATCTGCGATGATTTGTTCACAAATGCGAACTGTGCCATACTGCAAATGCGATCAAGTTTGCCCCAGTCCCACTTTGCAATTGCGAAGTAATTGTTCGTGAATACGAACCTGTGGTGCCCAGCTATTCTTCGCAATTGCGAGGAAATAAATTGCAAGCCTGACCGTGAGCCTGCATCAACGCAAATGTGAAGCCTGACCTCGTAATTCCAAGGTCTGAGTCATGCACCAAAACTGAAGAACACCAGCTATTTTTCTAAGTCTAAACTCACTACTTGGCCAATTCGAAACTCACCCGAGCCCTCGGGTGTGATGACCCGATAGGTCATTTCATGTTTTGAAACCTAATTTTATGATTTAAAGCCTTAAAAAAATCATGTTTTAGCCTTCCTAGATTTACATGCGTAGTCCGGGTGTCTTTTCGAAAAGCTTTTATGTTAAAAACTGAGAAAAGAAAAAAGAAATTGCTTAAAAACTTTATTTGAGTTGACTTTAGTCAACATTTTGAGTAAAAGGGTCTGGATTCGTGTTTTGACGGTCCCGGTGGATCCGTACTGTGATTTAGGAGTTGGGCGTATGCCCGAAATTGAATTCGGAAGTCGCTAGCCCGAGATATCGGACTTTGTCGAAATTTGAAAGTTAAAGGCTTAATGAATTTGAAATGTTTGACCAAAGTTTGACTTTTTGGATAACGGGTCCTTATTTTGGTTTTGGAATCAGGTATAGGTCCAATATCATATTTATGACTTGTCTGTGAAATTTGGTGAGAAACGAAGTTGGTTTGACGTGATTCGGACGTCCGGTTGTGAAAATAGAAGTTTCAAAGTTTTCTTAAAAATTTCATTTGATTTGGTGCTCAATTCGTAGTTTTAGGTATTTTTTTGGTGTTTTGATCGAGCGAACAAGTTCGTATAATATTTTAGGACTTGTGTGCATAGTTGGTTTAGAGTCCCGAGGGCTCGGGTGAGTTTCAGATAAGCTACAGAGTGATTTAGACTTAGAACATTTGCTGGTGTCTGCAATTTTTGGGAACTGGCCTCTGATCTCGCATTTGCGAGATTAGAGTTCGCATTTGCGAACATTCTCATTTTCTGTCAGGTTCGCATTTGTGAGCCATTTATTCGCATTTGCGAAGTGTGCCTGGGTCAGCCTAGGTTCACATTTGCGATTATAAGGTCGCATTTGTGGATGGCTAGTGTCCGCATTTTGTGAACAAAGTTTCACATTTGCGATGGGAGCTGGGGAGGGATATTCTTCGCATTTGCGAAGACATGGGTCGTATTTGTGATCCTCAGGTTTTGCATTTGCGAACATTTTATTCCCATGCGAAGCCCAGGTTGCAAATGCGACATTTGCAGCTAAACAAGATATGACTTAGACGGGATTTTTGGTTCATTCTTCAAATTTTCAAAACCTAAAACCTTAGAGGCAATTTTTTCAAGACTCCTTCTTCCCCCAATCATTGGTAAGTGATTCTAACCTATTTCCTTTCAATCTTTCACTATATTTCACAAGTTTTCAACCTAAAATCTAAGGTTTTCATGGTGGAATTGTTTTTTTTTTGTAGAAACTAGGGATTTGGTAAATGGGGATTTAGACCTCAAGTTGAGGTCGGATTCCAAAAAAATTACATAATCGGGCTCGGGGGTGAATGGGTAATCGGATTTTAGTTCGAATTTTGGGTTTAGACCAAGCGAGCCCGGTTGTTGACTTTTGTTGACTTTTTTGAAAAATGGCCTAAATTGAATTCTTGAAATCGTGGATAGTTCCTAAAGCTTAATTTGAATCGTTTGGTTGGTAATTTGCTAGATTCTATTGGTCCAGAGTCTTGTTTAAGAGGCAAGGCTGTGATTGAGCAATGAGTGGTCTTTGGAGCGAGGTAAGTGTTATGTCTAATCTTGACTTGAGGGAATTAAGA